TATAAGAAATATTAATTATAAGTAAAGAAATATAGCTTTAAATTCTATTCTAATAAATATAAACTTATATATTTTAGTTATATAAAAAAGAAATTTAATATATTAGCAGAAATTAATTTAGGAGATTAGAGTATAAGCCTTAAAAATAATATTTATATTTTAAGAGTAAGATTAGACTTAGCACTAAGATAATAGTAGTAAATTCTATTAACTTAATCTAGACTAAAAAGCCTATATAAGTCTACTTATTAATCTTCTCTCGCTACTTATATAATTCTCTCTTCTTCCTTTCTCTCTTTTATCCTCCTTTCTCCTCTATTCTGTCCTCTTCCTCTATTCTGTCCTCTTCCTCTTCTTGATTTCTGCTTGACCCTTATAAATGTTATTCTACGTCTAGATCAATAGCCCTTCTGAACTGGTCCAGGATCTTCGTACGCTAGATCATCCTGATGGCTGCCTTTGACCCCTTCTTAGAAGTCAGGATTTCCTTGATGTCGGTCGTATAGAGGGGGTGTATAAGCTCTTCCCTCTCTGTAGACCACTTAGGGCAGTTTAGTAGAACGTATTCTACTGTCATGCTTTCTTCTCTTGAGCAGTCACAGTTTGGACTTAAGATGTTAGGAACTTTCATTTTATACAAAAAAGCGTTAAAGCCTATTTTGCCTATATAAAGTTATATTAATAAAGCGCTTTTATATTTCTTAAGACTTATATATGTTTTTATTATATGTTCTGTTAAATATAATTATTAGTTTTTTAAATAAGCATTCTTTTTACTAGATTTCTAATAGTCTTTTTATCCCTTATTATAATATAAAGTCTTTTATATAACTTTAAGAGCCTCTTTGTTATAGCGCCTCCTAGTCAGAGAAGATTGCCTGAGCCACACAGCCCAGAGCTAGGCACTAGGCTTGGACACTAGGACAACACTACCCGGATGGTTGCTCATAGACAGCCAAGACTAAACACACTTAAGGTTGCTTACCTCTGCTCACTACTGAGCACCACTAAGCACGTACAGATTACTTACCTCTGCTCACTACTAAGCAGGACTAA